TCAAAAATCGACTTGCGAAAAGTAATAAAGTGATAGAATAAATTGAATGTGTAGCGACTAATGTTACAGTGCATTCATTTATAATTCACTGGTAAGCATATTGTATTCTCAATCCAAAATGGCTGCCTGAGAAGCCATACAGAGTTCGAGGATTTTGGTTTACGCCATACCTTCAGAACTGGTTTTAACTCGATTTATTACCGAACGATGTTTATTCATTAGTATTTTAGATCACGTGATTAATCAACATACATGTGCGCGTGTTTTGAACCAATCGCGCTGTAGTTGCGATTGGCGCTCTTATGATTTTCCTGTGCGGGAATCAGTGAGCTGTTTTAATATTGGTATACACACATGCTGTTATTGTGTTGATATTTGTACCTGGAAAATTGTATCCAACGAGGATTGAACTACTATGTCCCCGGACCGTTGCCGGTGTACGTGCTCACCTATTTAGTTCTTGTACATTTTGCAAGATACATTTTGACTCTTAATTGTGTTCTGCATTGACGACACTTTATTCGCTGTGCAGTGAGAATAGAACATTTAATATGATCTAACGTTTTTCTCACCTGCATTATTGTTTGACAACCTTTTATCATCGACTTCATATGATATATATTGTCTTGACATTTTGATTCTTCGACCTGCATCGCAAGTTGATCTATTGACCTCGACTGCATCATTATTGTATTCGATTGACTGTCTCATCACCATCATCAACGAGACCGTCTTCTGACTCTTCACCAACGTCATTTCCTTCAACAGCGTTGTCTTCATCTTCGCTGTTTTCATCATCGTTGTCTTCATCATCATCTTCATCATCGTTATCTTCATCATCATCTTCATCATCGTTATCTTCATCTTCGCTGTCTTCATCATCGCTGTCTTCATCACCGTAGTCATCGTCTTCATCGTCTTCATCATCGTTAACTTCATCACCGCTGTATTCATCTAGCGTCGATCATCGTCTGCATTTTCTACGCGATCGACAACCAGCTCATCGACCACCGTTTTCGACTAGCTAGTTTCTACATCTAGAACTTGAAGAAGGTCTACTTTGAATTCAACTCCCATGACTCACGTAACGTTAATTATATTGTGATTTATGTATTGCATTGGTTTATCATTGTGATGGTTATTTTGACTGACTGAGTGCCTGTTGTAGAGTGCGTAGACTCTACGCTTAAATCGTAACACATATTTACATGTTTATAATTGCACTAGATCTAGGCCTGGTCTAATGATCTAGATCTGCTATATCTAGATCCACCGATATATTGTTGTATTCTCGTGTTGTGCATTACGTACACATACACAAGTAGAGCTTTGTTTAGTGGTTTTTTGAACCACAATATTTCGTGCCTATGTAAGTAAATCTAAACGCTGTCTAGCTTAGATTTGAGTAGTATTTTCTTGACTGTTATTATTCATGCAGTATGAATGATATTTAACTGACTTCTTTTAGTACTGTCTTAAGTTGTACTGAACAGGACTCCTGATATTTCGAGACTTGTATTAAGCGGTAATCATTAATACCATAGTGACTAATTTGAGTCTCCTTTACATTAATGTGCTGTTGGAAGTTATCTATGTTTGATTATAAATAGTAACTACCAAGGGCCTAGTGATAGTTTAGTTGTCTGTCACTGTTGAGATAGACAGAAGAGGTTTCTGATAATTCTGTAATCATTGTTTTTTATGTGAAATTATAGAATATATAACCAGTTTTCACCCATACTCAATTTGTCTGAATGTGATCATTTATTAAGTGTTTTATTGTCTGGAGGGATACTGCTTTGTAGTAGTTTAATTAAAAAGGGAATTACGTGGAATAACTAGTTAACACGCAACAAAGTCCATACCCCATGTAGTTTTCTAAAAATGTATCAAATGATATTTATTGCATATGCTTTTTGCAGAAGCAAAGTCACACACACGCACATAAAAATGCAAAAATGTTCTTTTATATTTGAAATTTGATATGTGATATGTGTGGCATGATTAATTTTGTTAAGGATGTTATTTGGATCTGCAAGGACCGAATTAATACCCAAATCACAATTGTTTTATTCAAACATTACATAAGCAACTTTGGCGCAAGTCGATTTTTACACTCTCGCAAACAATGCCTCCTGTTCATCCAAGCATGAACATATTCCTTACAAAAATGATACTAAATGATTTGGGATAAAACACTCTTTCATAAGATGTATAATAATTTACTGTTCATAGATAATTTTTTTAATAATAATTTGCAATTTTCTAGGTGTAAACTTTTTTTTGATTCACACTGTACACAGACACACACCAAGAAAAAAGAGAGGAATTGGATTTAGATATAGAGGATGAGGGAATGAGTGGAACATATTCCTTACAAAAATGATACCGTACTAAATGATTTGCGATAAAACACTCTTTCATAAGATGTATAATAATTTACTGTTCATAGATGATTTTTTTTTTTAATAATTTGCAATTTTCTAGGTGTAAACTTTTTTTTGATTCACACTGTACACAGACACACACCAAGAAAAAGGAGAGGAATTGGATTTAGATATAGAGGATGAGGGAATGAGTGGGACATAAATAGAGAGAGTGAGAAAGAGAGGCCAAGGAAGGCAGAGGAATGGATACAAGAAAGAGAGACAAAGAGAGGGAGGGGTCTCGATGAGGTCAGCGATTTCAACGCTTCATACATTCACGAAGTTTGATGTAGTGGGAAACAGTTCAATTACCTCTACTCTCGAATTTTAGAATCAAATCAAAGGGGATTGATAAGATATATCTTGAATCATATTTATAAACGTTATTACAAATTAATTTACCGCTGGTCGAGCGCCCGCTACAATGATCATACATCCAATGTCTATTCGCTTTTACCCATACATTCCATTTCATCAAATATTTGCTTGAAAACGTCAGTATAAAAGCACCCACACCATCCCCACCGGGATCCATTTTTCAATTGTAAATACCGCTCGCAGTATTTTTATAATATCTGCTGTAGTGTGTGCGATTATATAGCATCATAAAAGGACTTGGTTTGAGGCAGACATTTTTAACACGCACCCAAAGTAAGTTTCATCTGTTCTTTTATCCGTATATATTTCGAGTTTGTTTTGACTGGAATAGAATTAACGAATGCTGCGTAGTAGTATCTTACTGCTGATATGATTCAAATCTTGAGATCATTAGCATTTCTAATTTTACTTTAAGTCGCCATTTTGTTGATGGGTACATGTATATAGGCTTATTGGAAATATTAGATACACAGTTATGCTTATGGTGCGGATGCGAATTGTACAACAGGTGTGGTTCTCCCCGATTTGATATGACTCTGATCAAGGAGAATTCTCAGGAAGTACGTAATTTCAAACGAGGAGTCTTAACAACCGTATGCGCTTCCAATGAATTTAAGAAATCATTTTGCATTAGTAATTATTAAAGATCTTTGCAAATTACTTGAAATTTGTTATGGTAGGTCAGTTCAGAAGGTTCATGGTGTAGGATAGGCTTGAAATCTCTGTAATTACTGAATGAAATAGGTATACTCGTTAATGCCAGATCATTATGATTTAAGATTTGAGACAAAATAAGCATATAAGCATATAATGACATACGTAAATTAGAGAGAATATTAACAGTATACAACAAGCAGGGATAAATTAATGAAGCATAAAGGCTAGTGTCGAATACGACATGTAGAACGGTACACACCTAAACAAAAGTAAACGAAAGAGAAGAATAGACGAAGAAAAGAAAAAAAAAAGTAAAAGGAAAATAAATTTAGATTGAGTAATATATCCTATTAAATGAGCAGCAATAGATATGTCCTTAAACATTGTATTATCTCTATTACTTAAATAACTATTGGACTTGAAAGAAAACTAACTCATTTTCATTAAATTTAATGAATACAAATATTGCAAACGAAAGCGTTTTTAAGTTGTTGATTGCCAGTAGATTACCCCGGCCCTAAACAGTTGTTAGATGATACCTCGGCCTACTTCCCCACAAGGATATACCCCATGTTCTCCTTTGACAAAAGAAAACTAGAGGGTAGTGGGCCAGAGATAAATATAGGGCTATCACATCAATTATCCTAGAGGTAGGCCTTTCGTTTATAGGGGTGGTTGTTTAGGGGTATTTGCACGGATAGTTATTGTTAAAGATGTTAGTTGTCCTAGGGGTAGTTGATCGGTAGTTGGTTTTTTTTTTTAACCAATACACTAGTTCAATCAATCATTCAGTTATTTTTTTGTATAATAGGAGTACCCAACACAAACCTAAACATTCTGAAATTCTCGCCCCTTTCTCACTTGTCAATGTTGTGAGAAGCTGGTAGTCCAGTGGGTAAACTGTCCTACAGTCCTCAATTGCAATCATTAGTGTAGTTTTAACCGAATTATTTGGCCTTCAAAACTCATGTTTGGTCTTTTATACGAAACCGTCTTACCCTACACAGCAAGTTACCCCTGATATGCAGGCCCCGTCTTATCCCACCCAGCCCGGAGTCCCGGGTCAGGCTGTATACGTCCACCAGCCCGCTCCAGTCAACTATGCCACCACGGTGCAGAACCCTAACTCGTCGAGCGGTGTGTCGCAGAACTTTAACGGAGCTGCCGGAAGAGCGACTGGTTGGCTACAGCTTGCCCTCGGCATTGGGAGCATCGTCGTCGCCATTGCCGAGTTGGTCCTCCACACCGGAGTAAGCTATGGAGTTGGAATCTGGGCCAGTGTTCTGGTAAATCTCCATTTGTCCTTTCTTCTCTAAAGGATGCAATTGTTTGTATGCATGATTAACATTGTCGCAATGACTTGAGAAAAATCAGGCCCAGCACCTTTTGAAATGTGCGAGCATTACGTAATCATACCCCACGCACGATTGCTATGTGACACAAAATAGAGTAATCAAAACAAAGGTCCAATGTACATCAATATTCAGTTTACATTTGTCATTTCGATCTTAATGACGGTTGCTTATTCTCCTCCCCTAGTTCTACATTCCTACCGGAATATTGGGAATATATTCGAAGCAGAAGAACAGTTGTGTGGTACGTATGTTTTTGTATTCCTTTAGTCTCATTTATAAAAAAAAAAATTCATTACCCATACTCCCTTTAGATGCACGCGTTTTTAGTGCATACGAGGGTTCATATGTATACAGCTAATACCCACCCACCGCACACAAACACACGCACTGCATCCCAGCCAACCTACACACTCAATTTGTATCGATGCCAGATGCCATTTGTATCGACTTGTTAAATCGATTTTAGGTGAGGAAACGATAGTGTCACTCAACAATAAGCAACTACATGTGTTACAACCATAAAATAATACATCGGCTAATATAAACCTTATTCTTTTGTTTTGCTGTTGTTGTCTTTTCAAAGAGATATTTTGTTTTAACTTTCTTTTCTTAGATCATCGGCTATCTTACGATGTGTATCATCACGGCCATCGTTGCCTGTATTCAAAATGATTGCTGGTGCCATTGGGGCAGGAATCATCAGTAGTTCCTCTTACTATGGCTATGGCTCTTACTATAGCTCTGACTATTATCGAGTACTAAGGGTATGTACATACACTGTATGATTTTCATGAAGTTGGAATGCATTTCCCCTACCCTCTTCCATGAAATTATTTTCCAATATGGTTTATTCTTGTTAGATAAAGTTGCTATCCTCCTAGAACATCGTTGATCAATCTCTATGATTCTTTAGATGAAATGTTTTATGTCCCTGGTATTTTGATCAATTATTTTTTCCCAGTTGGGATATCCCTACGATATCTAAACACAGATCCAGACTTTTTAGCTTTCCAAACTTTGCTTTCATTTTCCATCTGATCAGAAATCACATGCATAGAGTTGATTTCGGATTTTCTGGGGTAAAAGCTGTACCCGATAAATATTGGCTGGTTTATTAGATAATAAATATTGTAAAGAATTGATTCTACCTACAATTTATTCATCGATTTTCAGCTGAATAATCAATAATTATAATCAATATTTTGAATCAGTGTTCTCATTACAAATTTTGTCTCGATAAATGATATTACATAAAACGTTGGTGTTTCGTTGCCCAGGGTTTTGATTACTTCTCTCATCATCTTTCTCTCACTTTTCAGTATTATGATCTATATGATTTCAATAGGATATTGATTTTGTTATTGTAATGTGGATTCAACTGAACGATTTTCATGTAATTCAACTGTTTTTAATTTTGGCGCAAAAAAGCTTTGATGATCTTGTTTTCATTCTGAATAAATGTTTACATACATGAATGAATAAATATCTAAAAAAATATTCATTGATATATGAATATATGTAATGAAAAAATGAAAGAATAAATTAATACGTATAAGGAATGAAAAAATGTATATATAATTTATTTTAAAAAACTATCCGAATTCGATTAACAGTGGGTAAGAATCGCATCGGACTCTTTGCTGGCAATCCTTGGCCTGATCGAGATGATTGTAGCCATTGTGGCTTCAGCCTACTGCTGTGGTGGCATGGCCTGTGGCAACTTGTCTTCACCAACAACCACCACTATGGTGAGTTATTTGTTGTACCCCCTCTTAATGTACAGGAGTGGACAGGCACTCTCTTTTGTGGACTCGTCATATTATTTTTCATTTGCTATTGTGGAAAATCTACACTTATTAGGGTAAAAATCCTTTGTCAAAAGATTAATTCAGCTACTTATACTTCGAGCGTATTCGTCTATATTTCCACTCAAGGTGAATTGTTCACTCCTTTGGTTTAAGAGAAGTTCCTTATAACGAATTGTGAGCGAAAGTCAGGTTGACATGGGGGTTCAAGTACCCGCCCCTACAAAAAAAAGTTTAAAAAAGTAATGGACTTGTTTTGTTTTGTTTTCCGCTCGTTAGAAATATGTCAGTATATTTCAGTTTTACTTGGAAACTTTTGTCAACATCAATACCCCCTTAAAACCTGTCCCGTCTAAAACTTTGCAGGGACGCTCCTTTTAACAGATATCTTATCAAGATCTGCTTTAAGAGGGTAGGAAAGTAGATAGGAGAATACCCAAAAGTATCCAAGTATTTGTTGTTGTTGCTGTTTCGAGTATAATGTGCTTGAGTATAGCAATCAAGTAGTATGACATTCACTGGAGCTACGAACACAGGAAGGTCGTAGGTTTGAGCCCCCTCATGGCACAACAGACATTTGATACCGCAGAAAGATGTATTTGCAAATTGATAAAAGCGCCCCTGCATGGCACCAATGGCATGTGGCAAAACATATTTAGTAGTAAATGTATTTGTATTATTAATAAAGTATACATTTGCTACTCTCAATCAAGCTAAAGCATTGGGTACCTGACAGTAATTATTTCTTGCCACGATCCCACGATATACCCTACAGTTGTAGGATGTGAAGCCAGAATAATGCTGTCCAACAGCGTTTTAATTGATGAAATGTATTGTAAAATATACAGAAGTACCTAGGGTCTATTATCACCATTATTATATTATTTGGTTTTCATCTTACATTTATTTCAAATGTTTCAATTTCATTTGTAGCACACCCAACAGAACATTCCGATGGTTGTTACAACAGGTAGGTGTGTTGTGTGTTTTTGTTTCGACTTCAATTTATAGTTTCTTGATAACAAACACGATCTTTTCATTAACTAATTCATTAAGGAATTCAAGCGATAGCAAGTATATACACTGTTGCTCATAAATTTGGAATATTTTTTTTTTTACCCCAATTTATGCAATTATTTTGATAATGATTTATTCCTAATAGATCTAGATAATAGTTTACATTCTCAGATTATATTGAATAATAATTTGCCAGTGTTTGTTTTGCGTGACTGCTTAAGCATGTGTATGCTACTATGCTTATCAACTAGGGGACCTAAAGTCATGAATGACAGTAATGAGGATTAATGCCCCACAAAAGGGCACTAAATATAGCACTTTGACACGGTTCTGAGCCTGGGGCCTCACAGTTACGAGGCCATTGCTTTGCAACTGAACCATGACCGTATACAGCGGGGGCTAGGGTAGGGGCCAGTTCCCATAAATAAAAAAAACAAGGAAAATGCAATAAATTATCAATAATTAATTGAATTTACCCCCAGCCCCCAACAGAAACAAATCTTCTAAAAGGGATTTCAACTTGATACATTTTATAGATATACCTCAGTCTTTGAAACGTGGTGGGTAGTTTATCGGACAAAATACCTTGGACTTGTCCGAATACATGTAAACAAAGGTGGCAACGATTTTATAAGTTTGAATTATAAGATTTTCAATACTTTACAGTTATTGTTAATATTCAAAAATGAATGCGCTTTAAAGTTTTGAATACGCACCACTATTGATAACGTGATTGAACCTCGGTTCACTCTCTTTGAAATTTAATGTAACTCTGCTTATGTCACAATCGTTTTATTTATCGCGATTTATTGAAGTAAAAGAAAAAGTATACTATTTTATACTTAAATTTCCATTGTCTCTACACAGGCCAGTACACTCAGCCGGCAGGAATTGTTAAGCCCCCTCCCGCATACAACGTTCAGCAGGCGTATCCCCTTGCTGGCCAGCCTGTTGCTCCAGCTCCCTACAACCAAGCTCCTGGTGCACCGTACAACCAAGCTTCTGGTGCCCCGTACAACCAGGCTCCTGCTGCCCCGTACAACCAACAAGCAGCTGCTGCACCGACCAAACCTGGCGAGGTGGTTGCTTAAACGTGTTAAGAAAATGGGTCGTATTTATAAAACTAGCGATTAACCCGACATGCCCATATCACATTTGGAATAACAAGCAATAGACATATCCTTGATAAATACAGTGCATGCCTTTTTCCGAGGCACACGGTCATTAAGAAAAAAAAGTAGCTTATCCGTGCAAACTTTCAAATATTCTGAAGAGAGGATTTACATTATATTTTATTGCATTTTTGCAATTGGAAATTGAAAGAAAGCAGGTGAGAAAATGTAATATGCACAAATAACGGCTGGTGTATTTTGATAGATAGTTTGTATAAATTCAAGGAAAAACAGCCGTGCTATGACTGGCTTATTAAAATTCAAGCCACGTCAAGCAATTGCTTGATGAAAATAGTTATTCAAGCGAAAATGTACTAATTATTATAACAAGAAAAACATCTTTCCAGCTATTTGCCAGCAATTGCTAGGCATTTTTGAGTTTTATGAATACGGCCCATTTCACCCACTTTGTTAACTCATCTTCGTTCCACGTCCCCTTTTAAAATAGGGGGCGGGGCTTACATAATATATCATAGCAAACTCTATTATATCGACTAGTGTTGTGGTTTGAAATTCTCCCCCCCCCCCTCCTAATCATTTCACCCCACGTTTGAAATAAATAACCCTTTTCTAACCTTGATTAGGGGGCTGGACATCACGTGACTCCTTCTGATTACTGCATAGAAAGATCTATTGAAAGAACAACAATATCAACAACAACAAACAACATAAATAGCAAAAAACAGCTGCTACCTTTTCAACTTCAATGTCAGTCATTAATGATCATCAATCCAGTCAGAACAGGTTTAATATTATGGAAACATCGCTAAATATTACAGAACGAACAATACGTAACCAGGCAAGTGGTAGATGAAAATGCATATTGCATTTGAAATAATAAATGGGGTAATTTTCCAAATCGCTTAATAGAACATCTAAATGTTAATTCAGGAGGCCAAGCAATAAAATTTGAAATTGTAATTTAAAATAATGGAAGAATGCTTAATTTAACTTTTATATGGATTAAAATCGTGTGTTGATTTAGAGTCTGTATCACTATTACCTTCAAAATAAGTAGCCTTTATCTAGTTGCCTGAATTGGAGTGGAATATATTCATTTACCAATACATTTTTTTTTACCTGATTATATATTAATGTCATGCCATTCGATCTTTTGACTGTCATTTAGGAAATAATCAATTTGTTAGTTAATTTAATTGACGAAGTTATCGAGCAAAAAAAGGGATTTTAAGTGAAACGATGTTTGTGTAAAATTTATCATTGCTGAAACTACGCTGAACATTTGAGGCTGTGTACATTTAGCTAAATTTCCACATGTTACAAGGCACGTATTGTAGAAGACATTTTTCATATTTGTTTATCTTTCTTTTGTGTAGATATAATTTTTGAGCAGCTGTAATTAATACTTTAAATCTATATTTTATACAATATTCTAAAGAATGCAAACATTATTCAAAAGTGACCATTTCAGTCCTTTAGGTTTTACGTAGGTCAATTTTTAATGTACAATAAGAAAAATATTGGCTTCCTTTCGTAGTATATCAGAAATATTGAATTCAGCTTGCATGAAGCATGCACTCGTCTACGACTCGTGCAATATTTACGAGCTGAATGCAACTCCCCTGACATACCTTTTTAAGGGCTGGCGACATTATGTATATAAGTATATAAATCGAGAAATTCAGAATATTCCCAGCGACATTATACTTCACTAAGGCCACAGGACAAGGTTGAAAGCACAATTTTACTTAGGTAGTGTAAATGACACATGTTTTGCTTAACATGTAATTTGAGAATCTACCAACCTAAATGACTTTCCCAAGCCATGTGATTATTCTCACAGTTTCTTGCTCTCAGCTGTCTTAAGATCACTGGCCAGTGTCCTTATTCAGTAAAGGATTTACCTTTTTTAAAATAAAGATGGATATTTTACATTTGTAAAGATTTGTTAATTAAAATAGTGAAACTATGTATTAAGCACAATTATCTAAATATAGGATTTTACCTCAATTTAAACACATTTTCCTTTTAAATTTAACTTTGTGCACTTTAGATTCGTTGTAGGAATCGTACAAATGTGAAAGTTAATTTAGTCATTTGACATTCAAGTTAGTCGATGGTTGGTCAATTTCAATAATTGCCCATTCATTTTCGTCCGGTTTCATTCGAATCCGTCTCACCTGACGGTCCGCTGCAGAATGTGATAACCAAATTCCCTTTTGTGCTATCAATTTTAAGAGAGCCTCATTTAAATTTGTCGCAATGACGTGACCTTATAATGAATGACGCTTTAACGAAATCGATTGCAAATGATGAAGGCAATTTGTATGTTGGCAGTCGAGGATCTGGAACTATATATTTTTTTATTTTTTTTTATAATTTCACGAAATTGAATGCAAATTGATGAAATATACTTGACAAAGTTCGAAAATAAATGACCAAAGACGAAATTGACCATGAGATGTGCAAGATTAGGGAGTTTCTGGATAAACATTGAACAAAAAAGTATGACCTTTGATTGAAAAAAGTGTTAAAATGTCCGGGAAAACCTATTTATTGAGTTTTGACGCATTGGACATGCTGAAAGCAGGCCATTGACTGCTTTCAATATGACAGTATGTTAAAAATGGGTGATGCATCCCCCAACTAACCAAAACAATACAAAATAACATCTTTATACATGATTCTTACTTATTGAAAAAGTAGCACTTGATCGTATGTCGTATCATTCAGAGGTATAACCTGAGGTGAACGTATCATCTTTTAAACGTTTATATTTTGATCACTCGGTTTTAACCCGTCATTGCTTACTCGACCACGGAGAGAGAAAGAGAGGGAGACAGAGAGTAGAAGAACAAAAAAGAGTGAAATGAATGGAGGAAAATGAGAAAAGGAGATGAGAGGGACAAAAGTAGATTGAAAGAGAGAGAGAGAGAGAGTGAGAGACCAGGAAAATTTGATATGAATAAACCGAGAGAGAGAGAGGAATGGAGGGAAGTAAATTATTATATGAAAGAGTATTTTATCCCAAATCCTTTACTATCATAACAGGAGGCATTGTTTGCGAGAGTGCAAAAATCGGCTTGCGCCAAAGTTGCCTAATATGTGATGTTTGATCCGTTCAAAATTTCAATAAACACGTTTAACCTTAATGTTAATCGGGTGGTAATGTCTTTTTTTTCATGACCGTGTTAAAGGAGGTGGGAGGGAGGAGGGGGCGGGCAATGTACCATTTAACGACCAAAAAAAGAAGCACAGAACACAAATGCGCCTTGTTGTGAGTGACAAATTGAAACCAAGCCACTCTGTGATAAAGATTTTTTCTTTCTATTTATATGCACTCTGTGTAAAGATGACCCTGAGTACCCCATTTTTAAGGCTCGTTCAATCAACCCCCCCCCCCCCCCCAAAAAAAAAAAAAAAAAAAATTAAATAAATAAATAAATAAATCAAATAAAAAATAAAAAATGAAATAAATAAATAAATAAATAAATAAATAATAAATAAATAAATAAATAAATAAATAAATAAATCGTAGTGTTTATCATTTCTTGTTTATGATTGAAAAGAATGACAACTGACGGTGCAACCCAAATGAGGCGCGTATTCATGGCGGCCAAATTCGCGAGTTTGTCATTTAAATTAATTTGTCTTGCGTTCAAATTTGACGGTTTTAGTGCTGTCTGTCAGATATATCTTGGGTTTGTATTCCTTTTTCTAGTTTTCAAATCTATGAAGTTTTCGTTAGAATCTATGTATGTTTCATTCAAATTAATGAATAATGTGCTTCTTTCGCTATTTGGTCATTCGATTTGGCGCAAGACGAATTCTGACATCGCGAAGGTGTACTTTTAGCATTCGAATTCATTTGTAGCATTCAAATTAGCACTTTGTGCACTTAAATTGATGGTAAATATACATTTCTCGTTTATTACACACTTGTTATAGTTCATTCTTTTTCTTTCAAAACTGTTTTTTCCATGTGTATTTCGCCATATTTATTTTTTTGCATTTATACACTTTATATACTTTTATTCATCATCCTTTTAAGTGTTATTGTTAAGAAGAAAAAAAAACGACTTACATCTACGGACTTAGATTTTCATGTATGGAAGTTGTTTGTCTTGTGTTTCATCATAAATGTATCACACTTTCACTATGGAGGAATGGTACAATATTGTGACTGGGGTAGGTATTTTTGTGTCCCCACTTTTCCGGGGTATATGAACATGTCCGTGCAGAAATGCCATATCCCTTGATTTCGCCCCCTTCTTTACCTAATGTCCGACTACACCCATATGCATTGTCCTCAAAATTAATAAATGGAATAACAGAAATAACCCTAATGGCAAATCATGCATTTAATTGCATTTTTTTAACTGTAAACGTGGGTTGTCATTCTTCCCCCTAACATTCCTAACTTGAATAAACATAACTCGAATACGAATGACAGGTTTTAATTTGAATGATAAAAATGACGCCTCGACAAGTGACGATTAATTTGAATGCTAGTTGAGCAGTTTCTAAATTAAATGACAGATCTATGAAACCCTTCGACCAAAATTTTAAATTGAATACCAAAATGGGAAAATTGAATGATTATTGGCATGGCAAAGCCGATCTGCGCCAACTTTAAATGCAAAGTAAATGAATTCGAATGACAAACTTCAGAGACCAGAAGGTCAGCGTAATCAAAAATCGACTTGCTAAAAGTAATAAAGTGATAGAATGAATTGAGTGTATCAAATGATATCCAATGCATATGCTTTTTGCAGAAGCAAAGTCACACACACGCACATAAAATGCACAAATGTTCTTTTATATTTGAAATTTGATATGTGATATGTGTGGCATGATAAATTTTGTTAAGGATGTTATTTGGATCTGCAAGGACCGAATTAAAACCCAAATCACAATCGTTTTATTCAAAAATTACATAAGCAACTTTGGCGCAATTCGATTTTTACACTTTCGCAAACAATGCCTCCTGTTCATCCAAGCATGAACATATTCCTTACAAAAATGATACTAAATGATTTGGGATAAAACACTCTTTTATAAGATGTATACTAATTCACTGTTCATAAATGATTTTTTTTTTTTTTATAATTAGCAATTTTCTACGTGTAAACTTTTTTTTTGACTCACACTGTACACAGACACACCAAGAAAAAAGAGAGGAATTGGATTTAGATATAGAGGATGAGGGAATGAGTGGCACAGAAATAGAGAGAGTGAGATAGAGAGGCCAAGGAAGCCAGAGGAATTGATACAAGAAAGAGAGACAAAGAGAGGGAGGGGTCTCGAGAAGATCAGCGATTGCAATACTTCATACATTCACGAAGTTTGATGTAGTGGGAAACAATACAATTACCTCTACTCTAGAATTTTGAAATCAAATCATAGGGAATTGATAAGATATATCTGGAATCATATTAAAAAATGATATTATACAAATTAATTTACCGCTGGTTGAGCGCCCGCTACAATGATCATACATCCAATGTTTATTCGCTATTACCCATAAATTCCATTTCATCAAATATTTGCTTGAATACGTCAGTATAAGCACTGACACCATCCACAACCGGAATCCATTTTCTATTGTAAATACCGCTCGCAGTATTTTTATAATATCTGCTGTAGTGTGTGCGATTTATATACAGCATCATAAAAGGACTTGGTTTAAGGCAGACATTTTTAACACGCACCCAAAGTAAGTTTCATCTGTTCTTTTATCCGTATATATTTCGAGTTTGTTTTGACTGGAATAGAATTAACGAATGCTGCGTAGTAGTATCTTACTGCTGATATGATTCAAATCTTGAGATCATTAGCATTTCTAATTTTACTAATTTAAGTCGCCATTTTGTTGATGGGTACATGTATGTAGGCTTATTGGAAATATTAGATACACAGTTATGCTTATGGTGCGGATGCGAATTGTACAACAGGTGTGGTTCTCCCTGATTTGATATGACTCTGATCAAGGAGAATTCTCAGGAAGTACGTAATTTCAAACGAGGAGTCTTAACAACCGTATGCGCTTCCAATGAATTTAAGAAATCATTTTGCATTAGTAATTATTAAAGATCTTTGCAAATTACTTGTAATTTGTTATGGTAGGTCAGTTCAGAAGGTTCATCGGTGTAGGATAGGCTTGAAATCTCTGTAATTACTGAATGAAATAGGTATACTCGTTAATGCCAGATCATTATGATTTAAGATTTGAGACAAAATAAGCATTAAATTGTGCCGAAAATAATACTCACTGCATTGTGACTGTTTAAAATGTTAGTGCTAGACGGAATGATAATCCGTTGTCATGACATTCATTTAGATTGTTCAGTACAGAGTCATATCAGCACCATTTTGGTCATCCTTTAACTGTGTAGGGTTGGGTTAGTTTAGTTTTGTACAAGAGATTTCCATTTAGCAATAAGCCTGTCCCATTTGTACACTGTACACGAATACATTTCTTGCTGGCTCCGTTTACCTTTCAACTCATTGTTGTTGTTTATATCTGTATGTTGTATGTTGTTGAATGTATGTTGAAATATCTCGATTTCGGTGTATGAATGGTAGTCACCTCCCGTGGTTACAGATAAGTAGAATTATGGGGATTTGTTGACATCTTGGTCTTTGAAATTTTCCTTCCTTTTTTACACAATATTCTGAACCGAAGAGCATCCATCCTCAACCATGCTCATTGTAAAGTAGCTTATGTTAACTCAGACCTACTAACTAACATATGTTAATAATTTAATTACCAAAGCTTTTACTAGTAATGTATAGCCTGTAATGTGTACGTTGTAATTTATGAATGTATGACTAGTTATGTAGGCGCCTTAAAAGACATTCGATGTCAAACAGAGCGCTTTAGAAAGGTAAATTATTCACCAGATCAAGTCGTTTGATATTCTGAAATGTACAAAGAAAAGAGATACAATAATAAAATCATTGACATGTTTGCAGCCGAGCAATTTAGGAAGTCCTCTTGGGGTTACGTTTTGTCTTCACTATTCTTCACCGAGATAGTGGCCGCTTTTCAGAGTTGAAGGCCATGTAGAGACGTTCAAATATAATAATATATTAAAACGAAATGATATGAAAGGAAATCACAGAAAATAAAAACAGAATAATAGAATCAAAATGAATACGAACAAGAGAAATATATACTTTGGAAGAACAATTATGAGCAGCAGATGAAAAAACATGAAAATAACATGTTTATCTATATACTTTTTCTTAATATATGGCTGTGGTAAGGCCCTCTATTGCCTCATAAACCTATGGTTAAACATCGCATGCAGGTAAATATGCGCCATCTTTCCTATCGCCTTCACGAGCTGTTAAACCGTACGTCGTATATTCATGACACCGCTTTCCGTACTCCGCACACAGTGGTACAAACCACAGACGTATTATAAATGGTCCATTGTTGATATGGAAGTGATTGATAAAAACGAGCATGACCTGATCGCAATGGTTGGTAAAGTCTCCGAAGCGCACTCATTATGAATGCATACGTCACAATACGATGGCAACGCGCTATGACGCCATAGGCTATAATTAGAGATGATGTAACATTTCATCTTTTGTTGATATTTCCGCATGGGAGCGTTCCATTGTGTGCTAGTGATGATTTGATATTCTTTTCGATATGTTCCAGATTTGTATTCTTACTTGTTATTTATTTAATTGGATCAGTTCAGAAATAGAGGGGAACAACAATAATTTAATTATATTGAATTTATTTCCTTCTATTTCTTTTTTCATTTCAACAACATACTCAAGTAAAACATCCGTATCCTTATATAATGACATAAGTAAATTCAAGAGAATAATAACAGTACTAAAATAAGCAGGCATACATTTTGAAAGCATATAGGCTTGTGACGAATGTAGAACAGTACACACCTAAAAAGTTAACAAAAGAGAAGAATAGACGAAGAAAAAGAAAGAAAAAAAGCAAAAGGAAATGAGTTTGAGTTTGAGTTTGAAGTCTTATTATCCAAACAAAAAATACATCAATATAACAATAAAATGTGAATGTAAATGGACCAGAAAATAGCATTAAATGCTAATCGTGTCTTGCACCACTAACACACAGAAGTATCAACACAATAAATGAGAATGTAATTAATAAATATGAATAACCTTTGAAAACATACTTAAGCTACAAGCTATCACACATCTAGGCTAGAATATGTTTTGTCATTAAAACAAAAAAGCTTTGGTATTTTACACTAAATAAAAAGATAACGAATTATATAACATAGTATTTACAAAAAAGGCAAGAACCTCGGTTCAAAACAATCATTCTATTAATATTTGTGATATTAAATATCTACGAAAGCAAGACACAATGCTTTCTCCCGTGCAGATAGTGGGAGATCATTTCAAAGGCATGTGCCTCTGAATAACATTCAAAAATTACCCTGCGTTGTCTTTACTTTAGCCACACTCAACTTCTTACCTTCTCCTTGTAAATAAATTTAAATTGAGGAATAGATCTATGAAATGAGTGTCACTGGAAAACAGAAAATGTATTCCCTTTATTACTTAAATAACTATTGGACTTGAAATAAATTAAAAAGACAAACATCTAGATTACAGTGGTCAGGAGATACATTTCCTGGGGTGATTAATTAATTATCCTAGAGGTATATGCTTAATGTTTTTAGGGGTAGCTGTCTGGGGTAGCTGCACGGATAGTTAAAGGTATTTGTCGTCCTAGGGGTATTTGACCGGGGAAATTTAAAGTAACCATGCAGGGGGCGATTAACGAACGGTTTCTAATCCTAGGGTTACATGTCCAGGATAACCAGGGAGTTATTGACCTAAAGATATTCGTGCTATATGGGACTCGGAGTAGTTGTTTGGGGTAGTTTACCGGACAGTTATTTTTAGAAGGAATAGTTGTCCTAGAGCATATAGGGCGTAGTTTATTGTAAGTAGTAGTCGTGGGAATTTAGTACTGTCCACACAATTGTACCCATGTATTATTGATGCACTCTGTCGATATCCATCCGAGTTCTGTTTCTTTGTGTTTCTTATTCCTGTATATATATAGCCAGATGTCCGATGTGTTTTGACATCATTTAGCCTATGTCAAACACATGAATGCAGGCGCGTACGCAGGGGGGGGGGGGTTGGGGTGTTACCCCCCCCCTTTGGTAATTTTATGTATTAAAACCCCTCTTTTGATTTTTGAATTTTTTTTTCCCACGTCCGACCTAAAAAGGTGACGTTACCTTTTTGGGACCCCCCCCCCCCCCCAAAAAAAATGACCTCTTACCCCCCCCCCCCCCCCGCTTATTCAGCGGCCGGCTGAGTCGTTGCGAAATTTTCGGACCGATTTATAAATGTTAAACCCCCCCCCCCTTGAAAAAATCCTGCGTACGCATCTGCATGGATGAATATATAACTCATAACTTGCAATACTTATTGATATTTTAATACTTGCATTACTATCATGCAAGGTGAAATTAGGTTTTTATTCTGAAATTCAATGTTGATCCGAACTTGTCTCTAAGCCCTATAATAACATTTACTGCCAGTTTGAATTTGAATTGTAATTGTTCTGTGATTCTTTCGAGTACTTCACCTTGATTTCTCTCCCTCTTCTTCTGTCTCAATCTTCCTTCCGTCTGTCCTTTTCATTTCCCAGTATTGTTCGATTTCCAAGTTGATTATTATTTCTTGTTTATTTTTACTGTGTTTTATCTGAACAATTTTCAATATATTGTATTCATGCAATGTAATGTTTAATATTTTGTAAATTCAATTTGTTACATCCGTTGGCTACTGTTGTGAATTCATTTTTTAAAATAATTAATGAACTAGTTCAATCAATCAATCAATCAATTACAATGCTCATTAGGAATACCTGTACAAACTGGAATTCTCGCCTCCTTTCTCACTTGTCAATGTTGTGAGGAGGTGGTATAGTCCAGCGGAACAACTATCCTACAGTCTTCAAATTGCAACCGTTCGTGAAGTTTTAACCCTATTATTGGTCTTCAAAACTCCTGTTAAGTTTTTACCAAACCTTCTTTACCCTACACAGCAAGTTACCTCTGACATGCAGGCCACGTCTTATCCCACCCAGCCCGGAGTCCCGGGCCAGACTGTCTACGTCCACCAGCCCGCTCCAGTCAACTATGCCACCAGGGTGCAGAACCCTAACTCGTCGAGCGGTGTGTCGCAGAACTTTAACGGGGCTGCCGGAAGAGCGACTGGTTGGATTCAGCTATTCCTCGGCATTGGGAGCATCGTCGTCGCCATTGCCGAGTTGGTCCTCCACACCTCAGTAGGCTATGTCGCCATGGGAATTTGGGCCAGTGTTCTGGTAAGTCTCCATTTGCCCTTTGTTCTTTTGGGTATGCACTTGTTTTCATACATGATTAACACTATCGCAATGACTTGAAAAGTCAAGCCCAGCACCTTTTGAAATGTGCGAGCATTACATTACGACTTTAGACGTGATCACACGTACCCACACACAATTGCTATGATATAAACAATAGAGTAATCAATATTTTGTAATTTTGATTGTAATGACGATTGCTTTTAATATTCTCCTTCCCTAGTTCTACATTCCTACCGGAATCTTAGGAATATGTTCGATGCAGAAGAACACTTGTGTGGTATGTATGTTTTGTATTCCTTTAGTCTCATTTAGAAATGTATAATCATTACTCATATGCAAGGGCGTCACTAGACCCTTTTCAGTGTGTTTGTGTGGGGGGTGGTTTTAATAGAGGCCACCGATTACCGACAAAAATATGTCTATTCTATATTTAATATTTAACCCTATAAACCCGGGGCCGGGGCTAATTTCCTACGAACTATCTACATGTATACAACTGGGATCAGCAACTATTTGGTGTGGCGTGATCGGAAAGAGCGCTGCGTCTGTACACAAATATATTTCGGGTTCGCACCTCGATGGGGGCGATTCTTGAATCCCTTTTTTTTATTTTTCTAATGATATAAATATAGTAAGGTTGACAATGGCAATGACAATTGGCAATGATTTGTAACAGTTCATAGAAAGAAAACAAAAATTCGCCGGCCGACCGACATTATTTATACATCTCACCGAGTTCAAACTTCTGCATTGATATTACACGAGGATCGAGCGAAAATACCGATACAGCTGGCCCGACAAAGAAATATATCTATGCATATCTTTCTTGATCCCTCGACGAGATGACTCCGTCCAACAACCCCCTCCCCATTCCTCTCTCTCTCTCTCCTCTCTTTCATCCCCCCATTTCAATTGTTTCATTTTCCTTTTTTCCTTTTTTCCCTTTTCCTCTCTCTTTTCCCTTTAGTTTTTCTTTGTTCTCTTCTCTTTCTTTTCTTTCTTTTCTTTTCCATTTTTCTTTACTTTTTCTTTCCCTCATCCGTTGTTTCCCTCACCCTTTCCTCATTTTCCCGACGGCAGCTTAATTTTACCGACAATATCCTGATAAGGGGGGGGGGTGTCGAATCCCCCACAACACCCCTCTCTAGTGACGCCCCTGCCCATTACCCCTTTAGATATACATGGTTCCGGTGTAAATCGAGGTTTCATATGTATAAACCTAAACACAGACCGACCGCACACACAAACACGCACGTTCACACACCCAGCCAACCCACACACTCAATTTGTTTCAAGGCCAGTTAAAGCTTTGTTTAATCGCTTTTAGCTGAGGGATTGATAGTGTCATTCAACAGTAAGCAACTACATATGTTACAGCCATGACATGATACATCCGCCAATATTATACTCTATTCACTTGTTTCGCTTTTGTTGTCTTTTCAAAAAGTTATTTAAAAAAATATATTGTTTTCTTAGATCATCGGCTATCTTACGATGTGTATCATCACGGCAAATGTTGCTTTTGCTCAGATGGTTGCTGGTGGCATTGGGGCAGGAATCATCAGTAACTATTTATATCTCTACTATGGCTACAATGAACCAGGGTTACGGGTATGTATATTCTCTGTATTTTCCCATAAAGTTGGAATACATTTTCCTTACCTTCTTCCATGAAACGAGTGTTACAATATGGTTTATTATTGATTCTTATCCTCTCAGAACATTATTGATCAATCTCTATGATTCTTTAGATATTATATTTTATGTCCCTGGTACCCCATCAGTGCCGAATGCTTTTTTCGTTTTGCGCTTTTCAGACTATTTTGTAATTATTTTGAGGATGCCCACAACTCATAATCTACAAAGTAAAAACTGTTAATTTTACTACATATTCAATGTTTAAGAAAACTGTTACTTGTTACATTTAATTCAACGAAATTGGATGACCACTAAGAAACTATCTTTGATAAAATCGTGCATGATACCGTATTGTTTAAAGCTTAAATACAGTGTTGCTTTAAGTCGAATAGGCACCGAAATGTTGATATATTATATTTTCCCAGTTTGGATACCCTTACGATGGTTAAACACAGATCCAAAAATATAGGCTTTGCACACTTTGCTTTGATTTTCTTTTGATCAAAAATCACACACAGAGAGCCGATAAACCGATCAATATTGGCTGGTTTGCTTAGTAACGAATATTTCATGAATAAATAAATAAATAGATAAATAAATGAACTATCCGAATTTGATTAACAGGAGGCAAGTATCGCATCTGACTCTCTGTTGGCCATCCTTGGACTGATTGAGATGATTGTAGCCATTGTGGCTTCAGCCTACTGCTGTGGTGGCATGGCCTGTGGCAACTCGTCTTCACTAACCACCACCACTGTGGTGAGTAATCATCATACACCCCCCCCCCCCCCCCCCACATCTAAATGTACAGGCGTGGACAGGCACTCTATTTTGTGGAGAGTCACATTATTTTTCCTTTAGAGTGGAAAATCCACGCTCATATGGTGAAATTCATTGTCTATAGAGTAATCCAACCACGTATACTTGGAGCGAATTCCAATATATTTCCACTAAAGGTAAATTTCATCTCCTTTGGTTTAAGAAAAGCTTCTTAGGAATAAAACATCAATTTTGAGTGGAGTTCGAGGTTGCAATGGCTTGTACCTGCCCCTGCTCATTATCATTTTATCAGGAAATTTTAATTTTATGGCAGCTGTATGGTAATTGCGAAAAAGTTATGACCTTATTTTATTCTGTTTTCTGCTCGTTAGAAATATTGGTTTGAATGGCCGGGTTCTTTTCTTGCCGTTTCCAGTATAGTATCCTTGAGTATAGCAATCAAGTAGTATGACTTCACTGGAGCTATGAATACAGGAAGGTCTTGGGTTCGAGCCCCCACATGGCGCGACAGACATTTCATACTGCCAAAGTACATTACTTGCAGATTGATATGAGTGAGTGATATGAGTGATATGGCACCAATGACATGTGGCAAGACATAAATATACATTTGCTACTCTCAATCAAGTTGAAGTAATTGATACCTGATAGAATGTATTCCTTGCCATGATCATCCGATACACGCTACAGCAGCTCGAGGTGAAGTCAGAATAATGCTGTCCAACAGCGTATTCGTTGATCTAATGTAATTTAAACTATACCAAAGTAGACAGAGTCTATTATTATTAGTAGTAGTAGTAGTAGTAGTGTTTGGTTTTTATCTTACATTTATTTCAATTGTTTCAATTTCCTTTGCAGTATACCCAACAGAACACTCCGATGGTTGTGACGACCGGTATGTACATAACGATTGTTTTTGTTTTTGTTTCAACTCTAATCTAAAGATACTAAATAAAAAACATGATGTTGTCATTAATTACTTCATAGAGGAATTCAAGCGATAGAAAGTATAGACCGTGATACTAGGAATTTCACAGAGCTAAATTAAATAGACGTCCAACCGTGTTATATTTGAAATGACACACCAGCTGAAATGATAAATACTTAATCTCAGGATACGTTTAAACTGTCCTGAAAAGAAATTCCCGTCATCGGTATATAGTATACAAATATACAATGACACTCGAGGATCTAGCTGAAACTATTCGCATCGAAGGAACATCAACTAGTACTATTCTCCCGAGGGCCATCGGCCCGAGGGAGAAAAGTACTAATGATGTTCCTGAGTGCGAATAGTTTTAGCTTGTTCCGAGAATGAGTCATTTTATATTTGTTTTATATCCCTTCCATCTGTATTATTCCTTGTACACTTCTGTTATAACATGACCCTTATACTCACATTCACATCTACATTCAGATCGAAAAGAAATAAAGAAAATTGCACGGCTCAAATGAAACATCGAAGGATGTAAAAAATGTTTAGCTGGCGCAAGTGTAGTGCAGTTATCGCACAGTGTAAATTGCATATGGCTTGAGCTAGCGCCGTGACACCGCGGGGGTTGACCGCGCAGAGGCATATGAAATCATGTACGCGCTCGCTTGGAAAATGCATAGTTCAAGAATATACGTTTTTGTATTGTGACGTCACGCATAGTACCTTTTTTCCCTAGGGAAAAAAAGGTACTATGCGTGACGTCATCAATAAAAATGTACTATTTTGATCTAGTCGGCAGGAAACGTCTTTTACAGTCAAACTATTCTTTTTCTTGTTGTGTACACACCTAATGCAACAATCTTACGATAAGGGATATAATATTAATTATCACTCACACTGAATTTTAAAGATAAAAAGATTTACCTATGGTCATTGAGTTATTTACCTAACGATTGTGTTAAATATGTGGGGGGGGGGATTACACTTAATTTGGGAAAACCTCTTTAATCCAAATGCAAAATGTTAGTAAAATATGGGCAAGTTTAATTCCATGTCCCATATGTCTCTAAGCATTATGTAATTTAAAAAACACGATAAACACTAAGAACTATCCATTCACGTTGAGAACTAGTTAGAACCCGACTAAAAAAGATTTCAACTTGTTACAATCTGTAGGTAAACTTCTGTCTTTGAAATGTGGTCGGTAGGGTATCAGACAAAATACCTTGGACTTGTCCACATACATATAGACAAAGTTGGCAACGATTTTTAAAGTTTGGATGATTAGGTTTTCAATACTTCACAGTTATTGTTATTATTCTAAGATTGGTGCGCTTTATTTTCATGAATACGCACCACTATTGATAAGGTGATTCGACTTCGGTTCAATCTCTTTACATTTTAATGTAACTCTGCTCTTTACAATCTTCGTAATTTATTGGAGTAAAAGGGAGATTATACTACTAATTTCTTTAATTTTTAATTGTCTCTACACAGGCCAGTACACTCAGCCAGCGGGAATCGCTCAACCCCCTCCCGCGTACAACGTTCAGCATGCGTATCCCCCTGCTGGCCAGCCTGTTGCTCCAGCTCCCTACAACCAAGCTCCTGGTGCCCCGTACAACCAGGCTCCTGCTGCCCCCAACAACCAGGCTCCTGCTGCGCCGTACAACCAGGCTCCTACTGCCCCGTACAACCAAGCTCCTGCTGCCCCGCATTACCAAGCTCTGGGTGCCCCGTACAACCAACAAGCAGCTGCTGCACCGACCAAACCTGGCGAGGTGGTGGCTTAAATGTGTTAAGAAAATGGGTCGTATTTATAAAACTAGCAATTACCCCGACATGCACATACTTACATCGGGAATAACAAGCAATATGCAAATGCTTGATCAATAAGAAGCATGCCTTTTTCGAGACACACGGTCATTCAGAGAAAAGTAGTTTATCCCTGCAAACTTTTAAATATTCTGAAGAGAGTGGTTTGGATTCTAAACCGCGATACAGTATACATAATTTTACATCATTTCGTATTGAATTCATGCAATTGGTATTTAAAAGAAAGCAAATGTAACGGCTGAACAGATGTATTTTGATAGATATGTTGCATAAAGTCAAGGAAAAACAGTCATGCTATCATGACAGGCTTATTACAATTCAAGCCACGTCAAGCCATTGCTTGATGATGAAAACAGTTATTCAAGCAATGATTACTAATTATTTTTCTAGTAAGAAGAACGTCATTCCAGCTATTTGCCAGCAACTGCTATGCTTTTTCTAGTTTCATGAATACGACCCATTTCACCTACTTGGTTGACCCGTCCCCTTTAAAATAGGGGGCGCGGCTTACATGAAATAACATAACAAACTCTATTATATCGACTAGGATGAAAGTAAAATTATTGTCTTCTATTCATTACGCGGGGCTGAAATTCGCCCCCCCCCCTCCCCCCCCCCCAAAAAAAAAAAAATAATAATAATAATAATTCAATCTCACGTTTTAAATAAAGAACCCTTTTCTTACTTTGATTATGGGGCTAAACATCAAGTTACTTCTCTTGATGACTGCATAGAAAGATCTATTAAAAGAACAACAATATCAACAACAACAAACAACTTTAATAGCAAACAAACAGCAACGACCATCTCAACTTTAATGTCAGTTACAAACGGTCCTCAATCCAGTTAGAACAGGTTTAATATTATGGAAACATCGCTGAATATTACAGCACGAAAAATATTTAACCAAGCAAGTTGTAGATGAAAATGCCTATTGCATTTGAAGAAAAAAATGGGATCATTTTCCCAATCGTTTTATAAACCATCTAAATGTTAATTGGGGAGACCAAATAAGAACATATGAAATTGTTATTACAAAAATGTATGAATGCTTTATTCAACTTTAATATGGATTAAAATCTGTGTTCATGTTGATTCTGTATCACTTTAACCTTGAAAATAAGCAGCCTTTATTTAGTTGCCTGAACTGTAGTGGAATATATTCATTTATCAAAGTATTTTATTTTACCTGATGATATATTGATGTTGTGCCTTTTGATCTTTTGACTGTCATTTAGGAAGTAATCAATTCGTTAATTAATTCAGTTGACGACGATAGATAAGAAGAAAAAAAATATTTGAAGTGAAACTAATTGCTGATATTTGTGTGAAATTGATCTTTGCTGAAACTACGCTGTAAATTTGAGGCTTTGTACATTTAGCTGAATTCTCACATTTTAAAAGGGACGTATTGTAGAAGATATCTTTAATATTTGTTTTTCTATGTTTTTTGTAGATAAAATCTTTGAGCAGCTGTAAATTTATAGCTTTAGTACTTTAAATCTTTATTTTATAGAATATATTAAAGTTACAGAAAAGTGATATTTTTATTCCTTAGATTTTACGTTATCAATTTTGAATGTATAATAATAATAATATTGGATTCCTTTCGTAGCATATCATAAACATTGCATTCAGCTAGCATGAATATTGCACTCTTTTTCGACTCGTGCAATATTCGGGAGCTAAATACAACTTATCTGATATACCTCTCAAGGGCTGCCAATAAGTATATGATTCGAGAAATTCAGAATAACTCACGTGATATTACATTTCACCAAGGTTGAAAGCACAATTTTACTTCGAAAGTGTGCCTAACACATGTTTTACTTTATATGTACGGTAGTTTGAGAATCTACCAACCTAGAAATTTAGTATGCAAGCTTTTATCCACTCTTGTGGACTTTCCCAAGCCATGTGTTTATTCTCTCAGTGTCTTGCTCTCTGCTGCCTCAAGATAACTGAAGCGAAGATAGGTGACAGGGAACAACCAGAGTCCTTATTCAGAGAAGGATATACCCTTTTTAAAATGATAGATATTTTTAAATTTGTAAAGATTTGTCAATTAGAATAGTGTAACTATGAATTAAGCACAATATTCTAAATATAGGATTTCACGTCCATTTTAACAGTTTTTTCCTTTCAAATTTATCTTTGTGCACTTTAGATTCGTGTTAGGAATCGTGCAAATGTCAAAGTTAATTTAGTCATTTGTCATTCAGGTAAGTCAATGGTTGATCTATGTCAACATTTGTCCATGCATTTTTGGCCGTTTTCATTCGAATTCGTCTCACCTGACGGTTCGCTGCATAATGTGATAATAAAATTAGTTTTTGTGTTCTCAATTTCAAGAGAGCTTCATTTAAATTCGTCGCATGGACAAGACCTTATAATGAATGAATGACCCTTTAACGTAATCGATTGAAAATGATGAAATTGATGCAGGCAACTGTACGTTGGCAGCCGAGGATGAGGAAGTGTATGTGACTTTCACGAAATTGGATGCAAATTGATAAAATCGACTGGACAAACTTGGAAAACAAATGACCGAAGAGGAAATTGACTATAACATGTGCAAGATAAATAAATTTCTGGACGAAAATTGGTTGAAAAAAATAAGAATTTAAGTTTTTTTAAAAGTGTAAAAATGTACAAGACAACCTCTATTTTAAATATTGACACATGAGACATGCTGAAAGAAGGCGAATGGAAGCTTTCAATATGACTGTATGTTAAAGATGCATGATACCCCACCCCCCCCCCCCCCCCCCGTTCCAAAATAACCAATACAATAAAGTTATAACGTTTTTATACATGCTTCGTACTTATTAAAATAAAACTTTATCGAATGTATATTGCTTTGTGTATCATTTACAGGGATACAATAAACGTTTATATTTTGATCAATCGGTATTAACCGGTCATTGCTAACTCGACCACGAAGAGAGACACAGAGAGAGAGAGAGGGGGGGAGAGAGAGACCAAAATAAGAGAGAGAGATGAATTGAGGAAACAAATGAGAAAAGGAGATGAGAAGGACAAAGAGAGTGAGAGAAAGTGAGAGACGAGGAATATTTGATTTGAAGAGACCGAGAACGAGAGAGGAATAGAGGGAAGAAACAGAGGGTAAGAGAGAGAAGGGGACAAACACACAGACAATGGCGGATGCCGGATGGGGGCATGGGGCCCACCCCTGGCAAAAAACAAGAATAAAAATAATTTTTCTCACGAATTGGGCCTCTCCCCCTCGCCGCTGGTTGGATCCGCCCCTGCACACAGACACACACACCAAGAACAAAAAACATGAATGCGGTGTAAATTGAGAATGAGGGAATGAAAGAGACAAAGATAGAGAGAGTGAGATAGAGAGACCAAGGAACACAAAGGAATGGAGACAAGAAAGAGAGACAAAGAGAGGGAGGGGTCTCGAGAAGATCAGCGATTGCAACCCTTCATACATTCACATTCATGAACTTTGACGTAGGGGTAATCAATTAAAATACCCCTACCTTCTGATTTTGAAATCAAATCAAAGGGGATTAAAAAGATATATCTGGAATCATATTTAAATATGTTTTTCAAAATGAATTTACCGCTGGTCAAGCGCCCGCAACAATGATCATCCGTCCAATGTTTATTCATCATTACCCCCATGCATTCCATTTTATCAAATATTTGCTTGAATACGTCAGTATCAAAGCACTCAAACCATCCACAACAGGGATCCGTTTTTCTCCTGTAAATACCGCTCGCAGTATTATAATAACTGCTGCAGTGTGTGCGATTATACAGAATCCGAAAAGGACTTGGTTTGAGGGAGACATTTTAAACAGACACCAAAGGTAAGTTTCATCTGATTTTGTTTCCGTTCGCATGATAGTCCCACCTAAATCTATTTCGATTTTTGTTTTTGACTGGAATATGACTGATGTGTCGTATTATCTTACCGCTGATATGATTCAAATCATGAGATCATTCCCATTTATAATTCTAATTTAATTCGCCATTTTGTTGATGGGTACATGTATGTAGGCTTATTGGAAAAATTAGGAACACAGTTACGTTAATGGGGAGGATGCGAACCTTGTACTGCAGGTGTGGTTCTTCCCATTTCTATATGACTCTGATCAAGGAGAATTTACAGAAAGTACGCAATATCAAAAAAGGAGTCATAATAACCGTATGTGCTTCCCATGAGTTTTGGAAATGTTTAATTGTATTATTAAGCATTATGGGAATTATTTTTTATATTTTTATGATGGGTAAGTTCAGAAGGGTCATTGTGTAGGTTAGGCTTGCAAATCTTGAAACCTCTGTAATTACTGAATAAAATAGGTATACTCATGTATTCCAGATCATTATGAAGATTTGGAACCATGTAAGCATTAAATTTTACTGAAAATAATACTCACTCCATTGGGACTGTTTAACATGCTAGTGCTAGACTAAATGATAATCCGTTGCCATGACATTTCGTTTAAATTGTCCAGTACAGAGTTATATCAGCACCATTTCGGCCATCCTTTCATTATGTATGGTTGGGTTTAGTTTTGTAAGAGAGATTTCTATTTAACAATAACCATGTTCCATTTTCCGTACTGTACACGAAAAAAAAATCCGTTTACCTTTCAACTCATTATTGTTGTTTTTATATGTTGTTTATATTATTCGGACATCAATATATGTTAAAATATATCGACTTAGGTGTATGATTGGTAGTGACCTCCCCGTGGTTACAGATAAGTAGAGTTACGGGGATTTGTGGACATCTTGGTCTTTCAAATTATCCTTCCCTTTTTACACATTATTCTGAACCGGAGATCATCTATCCTCAACCATGCTCACGCTAAATTTGTTTATGTTAACTCAGTCCTACTAATATTGTAAAATTAGATACATATTTAAATCATCAATTACCAAAGCTTCGACTGGAAATGTATCGCCTGTAATTTATTAGTTATAATTTATGAATGTATAACTAGTTATTTAGGCGCCTTAAAATACATTTGATGTCAAACAGAGCGGTTTGGAAATATTTATATTATGTTAATATTATTTATTCGACATATCAACTTGTTTGACATTATGAAATGTACGAAGAAGAGGGGTACAATAATTAAAGCACTGACAGTTTTTGTAGCCGATCAATTTAGAATGTCTTGTTGGGTTTAAATTTTGTCTTACTAATCATCACCGAGAAAGTAGCTGCTTTAAAACATTGAAGGCCGTGTATAGACGTTCAAGTATAACAATATATTAAAACGAAATGATATTAAAGGAAAAGGAAACAGAAATAAAACAAGAATAATACAATCAAAATGAATACGAACAAAAGAAATATATACTTTGAAATAACAATTAAAAGCGACAGATGAAAGAATATGAAAAGAACATTATTTTGTCTTAATATATGGTGGTGGCAAGGTCCTTCATCGCCTAATAAACCTACAGTTACACATCGCATGCAAGTAAATATGCGCCATCTTTCAAGTCGCGATTGCATGCATACGTCATACTACGATGGCAATGCGCTATGACGCCATATGCTATAATTAGAGATGATAACATTTCATCTTTTGTTGACATTTCCGCACAGGAGTGTTCCATTGTGTGCTAGTGATGATTTAAATTCTTTTTATATGTTGCAGATTCGTATTCTTACTTATTATTTATTAGAATTGATCAGTTGAAAGAAAGAGGGAATAACAAGAATAATTCAATTGCATTGAATTTCTTTTTTCGTATAAACAAATTACTATAGTAAAACAATTGATCCTTGTGTCGAATTCGACTTGAATGAAATACAAAGTTTTGGGAAATTTTGAAAATTGGGTGGATAGTGATTCTTTACAATTTTGATATCTTCGGATGCCCCTGTGCATGGATGTATCATAAGCACTAGAAAATTTACCCCCTAAAACTCTCCTGCTTTCGAGAAAAATTAAATATAAAAATTTACCAGTGCTCCCGGTAAATTTTGATCAATTTCGCGACTACGGCCGTACAATGGTAGCTGCGACCATGAAAATCTCAGAATATGTAGTTGTGATACATATTTTCCAAACGGGAATAGCTTATCAGATAGAGAGAAATACATGGACAATGGAAGACAGGAAAAATAGAGACTGAAAAACAAAGATACAGAAAGAGAAAGAGAGATAGACGGAAAGTGTGTGGGGGAGGACAGAAGAACAGAAGGGAAGGGGGCAGTCTTTATCTTTGGGATACATAGTTCATATACCCCCAGGTTCTTAACCCTGTACAAATGCCACCTTTAAACACCCCCTCTCCATAATTATGCAGATGGTATCAAATTTCCAACATCAATACCAAACAAAACACTCCACTAATATTTGTGAACTTCTCCTTCTCACAACATTTCTTGCCTACCCCTCCCCTCCCACGACACTGCGGTTCAAAGTCACTTCAAGTATAAGCAATCAATCTAAAAGAAAATCAACAAGTTAGAAGGCAGCTACAATTAGAGCTTTTTCGGCCGGCAAGATCAAAAGGGTATATTGAAACAAATGTGGGTCGGATAAAAGAGTTAAAGGACCACTCTAACCCAACTAACATAATAGTTCGTAGCCTTTCAAAACATGAATACACCTCTACTTATTAATAATCCAGCCTCCGATTTTTCAGAAAATTTCTATATTGATCACAAAGCATAATAACCATGCATTTCTCACAGATCTCACGCCTGCTGGGCTACGCCCCTCGTAAACAGGTAATACTGTCACGTGGCTTGATATCGCATTTGACGTCACTGCGGGAATGTCCTTGTATTTGTCCTACAACTAAGGATCTTACAATGTCATTGTAATTCATAATTAGGAGTGTCGAAATGGGGGCGATTATGGAGCTCACGGGGGCGAATCGCCCACCGCTGTTTCAAACAAATGTATTCTCTCTATTACCTAAATAACTATTGGACTTGAAATAAAATAAAAAGACAAAATCTGGTCTGAGGATAAAATTAATTGGGTTATTAATCAATTATTCTACTGGTAGGCCTATTGTTTGTAGGGGTAGTAGCACGCAGAGTTATTGTTAACGGTAATATTTGTCCTATAGGGGTAGTTCATCGGGGGTATTTAAATTAACCAGGAGACGATTAACGAAAGGTTTCTAATCGTAGGGTTACTTGTCCGGGATATATAATTTAACCAGGGAGTTATTGACCTAAAGCTACTCGTGCTAGGAGTAGTTATCTGGGGTAGTTTACCGGAGAGTTATTTTAAAAGAAGAAAAAGTTGTCATTATACAAATGATGCACAGGTTTGAGTGCGTCGGTAGGGATTGTGTGCACAAGATACCTTTGAATGGTTGGAACCAACGAGGCGCAGTCGAGTGGGTTTTAGACCAAATTCAAAGGTACCGCGTGCACACAATTCCACCGACCCACGAATTAACCTGTACATCATCTGTTTTATAAGATGGCGCCCAAAAAATTGTCAAAAATACAAAATGTTGTTATTTTACACATTTACCGGATGCATGGCCAAATCATGCTTTCCGGTATTACCCGAAAGCATGATTTGGCCATAGCCAAATCATGCTTTCGCATGATTAGAAAATGCATTTAGAAATTTGCTTAAATTTGCATAATTTTTAAATTTTAGTGCAATGGATGAAGAAAAAAAATGTAATGACTTACCTTAAATATGAAAATTGTGAAGACAAGTAGAAGAATCAATGCTAACAACAAACATGATGAACGCTGAATAGGAAAAATGATGAACACTGAACATATTTACACTGTGTCTGTATTACAGTCTAGTTATTGTGAATGTGTACTACACAGTCACTAAAGCTAAAGTTGTGACTGGTGGCACGCATATTGTTCTCTGATGACAGAGACAATGAGAGTGGAGCACGAGGTTGCGGAGTTTGTGCTAATGCCTATGGCATGAGAGGGGTAGTAGGAGGAGGTGGTGCTGGTGCTACGGTAGCTAGTAGTAGAAGGAGGTGGTGCTAGTGCTACGGTTGAACATGTAGCAGGAGCATAGGACATCTGTTTTCCAATTACACTGCTCATCTCCTGTTTTCGGCCATCACTTGTCTTGCTGTAGATCTTGATGGAACTTTCGTTGCGATGCCCACTCACAGCCATGATGTCCCTTGACTGAAAACCAGCTTTGTCGAGTAACGTGACACACGTTGCACACAGGCAGTGATTAGTGTAGACTTCACTACATCCGGCAGCGGTGGAGATTTTCTTCATCTTGTTTGAGAGTGTATTGACACCAACCGGGCTGTTGCAGTACAATGGCTCATTTCCATCGTGCGGTTGACTAGCTTTTGGTTTTTGCCAAAACCATTCACAAGATGGATGCAGTTTAGAAACATAAATTTTAAATGACTTCACAGGGCATCGGTCACTGCCTGGAATTTCGTACATATATCCTCCGGTCGTTTCATCGTCATTCTCTCTGTGGTTTTTTGTGAGCTGGTCACGTTTCGTTACATACCGCAGTCCATCTTCATCGGTGAAGATCATAAAATCAGTCACTTCGAACGTACATTCTCACGACCTCTATTGCAAAAGAAGGTCATTAAATCTATAAACACTTTGTTGTGCAAGCCTTTTGGGGAGGTGCAATCCAACTCTGAAGAGGTCTGGATCTTGTTCATGTCAAGCACAGAAATTGAGGCTTTATGTGTGGTGCTTCCCAGCCCCTTTCGCTTCAGTTTCACCAACACAGCCTTAACATACGTGTGCTCACTGGAAATTGCAATTTGCTACAGATATCCAAAGTACTACAGTTATCCAAAAAGTGGCGTTGTATGCTATAGCGAAGGTATTGAAGAGACTTCTTCGTATATAACTCACCGTCAG